GGGGGGGGGGGGGGGGGGGGGTTGAAGCTGAAAGGTCAGAGGTCAGAAGTGAGAGGTGGATGGGGGAGAGGGTTTCATTCCAACGTACTCCCTGAGCTCCTTCCTCCTCCTGCTCATCCTCCCCTCCGAGCAAGATGAGAGGGGGGGCCCGCGAGGTGTATGCCCTTTTCAATGAAGGGCCGCTCTTCTGTTGCTATGGTAACAGAAGGGGAGGGGGAGGAAAAGGGAGACAGAAAGAGACGGAAGAGGAAGAGGACATGTAGTGACATAAAGAGGACAAAATGAAAGAGGGGAGGAGCAAATGAACAAAAGGGATAAAAGTACCATGACTGTAAAAAGTAAGTCCCTTTAACTCACTCACTCACTCACGTCATTGGTCATGAGGAAGGAGCATGTGTGTGATTGTGTGTGTGTACATAAGCAGACCAGAGTCAGCAGTCAGACTCCGTTAGTCTGCTCGTCCGCCTCTAAACCGGCCTGCGTCACCCTGCGGCCCGTCTGTCTGTCAGCATTAGGACTTAAGGCTCTTACATCACTACGCCCAGCAGAGACAGGCCACCGCTGCGTTACGCTCAACTCTGTCAGCCTGGAGCACCTGGAAACGTGTCCACTGCCTCTCCAGCTCCAGTGGGATGTTTACAGAGCACATGGAACATTCTCAGGACTGTGATGCCTCGAACCGGGGATGACAGGGTGCGAGACGGAAAATATTACAGAGCGTCTGTGTTGGTGTGTGTGTGTGTGTAAGACAGATAACAATCCATACCAGGGTGACTCCAGAGAGGACCTCCAGCAAGGAGATCAGGTTGTGTCCATCCCTCAGGTCCTCGTACAGGTCTGTGATGTGCTTCCTCACCTGAGCGAGGAGGTAGGAAAGAGGAAGAGGTAAGGTGAGAAGGGATGAAGGGAGGACAAACCGAAAAAGTCAACCCCACACTTCAATCATCCCTCTGTTGACTCAACGCTGTTGACATCAGCCAAGCCGACAGCCCCGCAGCTGACGACTACTGCAGGTTGCCAGGGCCGACAGAGACGAAGCGCCAGCTGTGGCCTCTCGTCTCTGTTGCCATGACAGCAATGAGTGGGCCGGGGGGGGGGGAGACACAGCAGCCTGGTCAGCACCAGTGAAGGTTTTGTTTAAAAGTGGGACACTCGGTGAGACAGAAGTGACACAGGTATTAAATCACATCATATTTATGGAGGGCTCATTTTGACAGCATCATGTGAGAGTTTCCTTATATTTGATGTGAATTAAAGGACTTTAGATTTAAATGTATAACTCTATGACTTAAATCCATTGTTTTATTTAGTTTATGAGAGCTTATTTTCAGCAAGCAGAGTAGAAACTGTGCTCTTCACCTGCTCTCTGTACATCTTTGTATTTGCTGCTTCATCAGAAAGCAGACGGAGAGAGACGGAGGTTGGCATGCAGCAAAGCTTGCTCCTACCCAAAGTGTCTCAATATTGTTGCTTCAAAATTGCACATCCACCTGAGGATGGATAATGAACGGACCTACCGGGTGACAGGCCCAAAGGCTCACCTGCATAATGTCACTCGAAGAGACAAGTAGCCTACAAGACATGAAAAGGGGCCACGAAGAACCAGAAAACTAATACAACGAAACAAAAGGACAAAAAAAAAACACAAATGAAGTCAAAGAAACCAAAATTACCTGAGGAACACAAAACGAAAAAAAGACACACAATTACCACATAATCAGAAAAGGAGAGTCAAAACACGAACAAAACCGAGGCAGAAGCGTCACACAGCCTGTGTGTCTCCCTCCTACAGGTAAGATAGCTGGGGGGGCCTTTTCCATGTCGGTCCCCCGGGGGCCCACTGTCTCATAATCCTCCTATGGATCCAACTAGGCCACCAAGGGCACCCGTCTACCTGCATTACTGTGATCTCACTGCACCGGGAAAAGTTGTGCTGCAGTCCTGGCCTCAGAACAAGAAACCACACTACCACATTCCACCACAAGAGGGTGAGACCGTCACAATAGTAAGCTGAGGGGCTTCCCTGTCCAGCTAAGGTATACCAAACACCCTAACATGTCTGTCAGAAGTCCTCTGTTGAGGTCGAGCTCACAGAGATAGAATCATCTCCAAAAGCAACAACATCCCTCTCGATGTTTTATAGAACTACAGACATGTTGAAGACAAAATGAACTGATGGATATCACCATGAAACTTCACCTGATTACTCACATTAAAACAACAATTTTTTGTATTACATGTTATGAAATGTTATGTTTAAATATGCAAATGAGGCATTATCTAATGGTAACTTTTAGTGAATTCAGGAGAAATCTACAGACAAAGTCAAATAAAATAAACACCTGAATGTGTATTTTGGAG